TTATCAGGACAAAGTTAAATGATTGCTCACTTATTCTGATTCAAAAGGAGGTTGGTCTCATTACATTCTCAGCAACATCATCATAAGTCATATTTGCCAGGGTTGCAGGGGTTTTTTTCCTTGAAATGTCCTTTTCAAAAGTTTTTTTTTAATTAATGAGACAGTCATCCTATAATTGTCAAAGTAGAGAAAAGTTCATCATTCATCTCCCAAGTTTGCTCTTATCTTTGCACTTAACTGAATTTAATTTGTGATAAGGCTGAATATGTCAAGACTTAGGACAATGCTTTCATAAAAATTCAAATGTTTAAGGAACAATTATGAATAAGTAATGTAAAAAAAGAAGCAAACCTATGTTTCACTCTGAAAAGAAAAAAAATTGACAAAAATAACAAATTTTCAGCAACGTATGAAGGGTTTACCTGGGTGAAATACGTATTCCAAAAGGCTAAAAAAAAGTCACAAGAAGAAATAAAGAATACAGCAGTTGTTCCAGAACTTATGATGCTGTTGGATACTATTGGATTAAACTGCTGAGTGTATGAGATACACATCTAAAAATTTTTGCTATCATGCTCTGAAAATAAAATTCCATTTTGTGAGCAATTTAAAGGGGGAGAGGGAAGTCTATCATAGTAGTTCTATCTGTCTTGGAAGTAAAAATAAAATTGAAAATATGGTTTTTGTTTTGTTTTGTTTTGTTTCACTGACTCCAGGTAATTAGTGAAATAACAGATAACAAATGGATGCCTTTTTTTTTTAATAAATAACTTTATCACCTCTGCTGTGAGTGTTAAAGAGAAGAAAAGGAATGGAAGTGTTTCAGAGTGAAGCATATATGACTCTTACCTAAAAATAAATAAATAAAGCCTATGATCTCTTCATTTGGGTTTTTAACTATACTGTTGATCTTCTTGGTTCCTTATGCTTAATTAGTCTGATAGAGAAAATCCTCAACCTGGTATCCCATATAAATTGAAATGAATAAGACATGTCATAATTAAAAGCACTGATCTGCTGAAAATAGAACAGAAATATACCCTATAAACCTTGATTTCCTGTGGGGTGTTAGGCAAATCACTTCATCTTCCTTGGTCTCAGTTTTCTCATTTATAAAATAAGGAGATTAGGTATGATGACCTTTATGGTCCTTGCTAGTTTTAAATCATATGACCCTAAAATTGTATACAATTAACACTATGAGATTTGTCTTTTTTTAAAAACATCATGGGAACAACCACTGCTTTACAAGCTATATAATTTTCAAAATGAAAACAGAAATAAAAATTCCTTCAATTTCTACAATTAAATGGAAAAGGAATTGTGTTAGTTAAAAAGTATGACTCTTTATTGGTCCTACTGCTTCAACTGTATCATGAACAAAAATTAATTCATTCTAGGTTGAGCAGACTAGGAAAAGAACCACACAGGAAAGAGAGTTTTTGTTGAATTTTGGCAAGACTAAAAGGCTCGAGTCCATGTGGTGAGCCTATCTAATTTTCTCAATATTACCTTGCATTCCATTCCAATCATTGGCTAAGCAGTTGAGTTTGACAATACGGCATATAGACAGTCAACCTTGAAGCCGAGAAGACCTGGGTTCAAGTTCTGCCACTGACACATAGAAGTTATATCACCCTATGAAAATCAATTAAGTGTTCTAGGTAATACTCTAAGAATATAAATTGCAGAGATGTCCAGCTGCATCAGCAGAGGGAGTTTCTTATCTGGGAGCTGAACATTAAATGACTGGCATTCACATTTTTACAAGTAAAGAATGTAAGGCTCAGAAAGCTTAAACAATAATAATAACATAATTATATAGTTATTATGGTTTACACAGAATTTCTTATATTTTACTGATTTGAAATTTATAACAATCCTGATTTTACTAGGGCAATATAATCATCCCCATTTTATGGTTGAAGAAAGAGAGCTATTATTATTAGATTTAAAGAAGTTAAATTACTTGTCTGAGGTAAAATAAAAGGGGAAGGTCTAGAATGTAGGCATTTTGACTCCAATTTTGTTCAAACAAAGGATTAAACCAATGTCAATTGTTCCTATTTCACACTTATGTTTTAATTCCTATAACAGAGGAGAAACTGAGGCAAAGAATGGCTAAGTGACTTGCCCAAAACCACACAGAAAGACCTAGGTCTCATGAGATTTTACATTAGATTTGAGTTGCTACATTAGAATATAATACAAATATATATAATACAAATATTAGAATATAATACAAATATAGCATAATCAAATATCTGATGAATTTCCTCATAACTTTGGAATCATAGTATCATTAGTCCGAATTGTAATGCCTGAAAACTATAAAACATTTTGAGTTCATTTGCAACCTTTCTGAAAATTGCATGAATTGTTGACCAGATTAATGACTCCACATTTGTTGTCATGTAAAGTACAATGATTGTTACATTAAAAATGCTCATTTTCCTTTTCAGACAAGGTTTCCCAGGCACACAAATCGTCTCAATTTGGATACTTACATTTTGATGTCTAACAGTTGCTTATAGTTACATTCTAAATACTACTTCTTTCCTTTCAATCAGCTAATAACCACACAATTTATTTTTTTCTAGGATTTTTGTTTTAATGTTTCAAAAATTGTTTTAGGTATGATTTAGATTTTTTTAACACGTAGGGCACTCTGAAACACTCTATATATATACTTACATATGTATATATGTACATATACGTACAAACATACATACACACATACAGGTTAAAATGAAAAACAACGTATCTTCCTACTGTAGATTTGCTTTTGTGTCTGAGTAAGAAACATGGTTATTTAGGAAAGTTTTCCACAAGAGTTATTATTGAGTTAAACCCATCCTGATCACACTCTTCAAATCAAGTGAAAGATTTCAATCATATTCCTTTCCATATTATAAAGTTCTTAAAGTACCTTTGCATTTAAGATCTCGGTCTTCACTAAATCTATCTTAAAGTTCTCTTCTTGTTATACATTACTTTTCAAACCTTGTTTCCCAGTCATATTTAACTAAATAGATGCTTGCTAGCATCTGATAGAGCAGACTCACCACAAATATTTTTTGGGGGGAGGGGTTTGTGGGAGAAGAAAGCATCTTGCAACTTAATGGAAAGATTTTTAAAATTAAGAGAAAGCTTTCAAACTAAGGCATTGAGAGTTCAAGAAAAATACTACCTTAAAATTACAGTAACTCCATCTTCATAGTTGTACTGCCTTCTCACCCCCCACCACCCACTCCAGACACTGGCAAGTATTCTTATACTATGACCTAAACTACAAAATCACTTTTAAGGACATATGTCTTCCTTTAATTATTGTCTCCTGAAGACCTCCTTCCTCATTTTTCCCCCCACAAACACTGATATTTCAGGCATCTGTTGTGATCATAGTCCTGTCTCTGTTTTATCAATCAAATAACAACGTTCCTTGCGCCCCTCCCCCATGGCTTTGAAATGAACTGATGACTCTCAGGTCTATTAAATCAACCTAAATTATTGATTGTAAACTCAAGATTGATGGAAATGGAATTTCAATCACTTCTTCCCAAAGATGTTGGTGAAATGTGGATACACTTCAACTCTGTCCTCCCACCCGTGAAAATTTCACCTAGCTCTTAGATACTAGACACCGGTGTGTGTGTGTGTGTGTGTGTGCGTGTGTGTGTGTGTGTGTGTGTGTGTGTGTGTGTGTGTGTAGTGGGGGAAGAGTTAGGGGATGGTCATTGGCAAATCACTTGCATCATTTAATATGATATAATGGAGTGAAGATCAAAGCTTAGGGGAAAACGGACCAATCCACCCAGCAGGAAATTATGGAAGCCAACGGGAGAGCCAGTCCCTTGGTAGCGGTATCCCGGGCCAAGCTTCGGGTTGCGGTCTTGGTAAGATGCGGGGAGGGAAAGACGGGAGTGGAGATTTGCAGCTAGAGAGGCAGACTGTTTCAATGCAGTTTAAACATCAGTTGCTTTGTCTTTCCGTTATTTTAATGGCAGCCAACCATGGACTCCCCCGCGGGTCGAAGATTGTTGGGAGATGGGAGGGGAAATGAAGGTGGCAGGGGGCTAATATAGATTGTAGAAAAGAATAAAATGGCTGATAGGCAGCGGTTCCTTCTCAACCTCAACCGGATCCAATTGTTTTCAGACCTCTTTCCATTTCGTTTCCTTTGCTGAAGGCCCTGAGATGCAACCCAAAGCTAGCTAAGAACAGAGCAGGCAGAGTCAGCTAGCAAAGAGCTGCCGAGAGGACAAAAGAATCTCTTTCAGAAGAGCCTGGAAGCACAACTGCCTTAAAATGACCAGACACCTCTAAAGAAGAGATCTGTTTCCAACCGTAATAGCACGCAAAGTCTGAGGTAGGAACCAAGTCTAGCTTCCCTAACCGAGGAGAAACACTGCTTGGTAGACAGCTCACCCGGGGCCCCTAAAAAAGGTGTTATGTAACGCACCCAGAGCCCAGCGCAACCGGAACCATTTTTTAAAATGTGTCCCATTGAAAAGAAAATAGTGAATGTTCCTTTGAGCCATAGCTTGCTGTGCAGGAGTGGAGCCGGGAACCAGAGCCAGAGAGGAAACGGCTACTAGACTGGCTATGAGCAATTCCTGGATCTGTCCAGCATCCCATGAGTCTGCTTACCCTCAGAGAATAGTTTGTTCACGTGAGGCAAAGACACTTGCAAGGACAGAGTGGAATAAAGGAGAAAGGGGTGAAGGTAAGAGACCCCAGCATAAAGGCCTGAGGTTGAAAGTGGGAACCTAGAGGCCCTAGGAAAAAGCAGGCAGGCCCAAGCCACCTCAACCTTGCCCACGCCCCCAAACCCCTAGTGCGCACGCACGCTCTCCAAGTCCCTTTACTCTTTTCAGCCAGCTGGGGCCCCTACTCTTCTCATCCCACCACACAGGCGCACCCACCACCACCACCCACTTCCTCGCACCCAGCTAGCTTCTTTCTTGTTCATTTGAATAACATGAATATGCATTACTCACAAGCATTGGTGACTGCAAAGCTGTTGGCTACCTCCAGATTGTCGATGTGGGGCGTCAGCCTAAACTCTGAAGTGGAAAACTGAACCATCCCTACCCGAAATGCACTGTATTCCTGATCGGCGCCCCTTGGAAATAACCCCCCTGCAAAGAACAAACACAGGAAACAAGAAAGCATTGTCAGTGCCAGGAAGAAAGAAGAGCAGACCCCTCCGAGAGCTGTTCATCCCCTAAAGGGGAGAATAAAGACATCATTCCTCTGTGGGAGTGGGGACTCAGACAACCCAACTATGGAAAAAGGGGTCATGCAATTTATCAGAATCAGAGGCCATAAGATAGACGTTCTCTTTTTCCTTTCACCAGAAACGTTCCCATACAGATCCCGAAAAAAAACGAGCACACGTAAGAACATTGTGCAATTGGAGGGTGAGCATCTTCCTCTGTTGTATCAGGGGCATAGCCTTTCCCCATAGCCACATTCTAGTTACTATATGCATATTCTGGACATTTAAAATCTGGAATGTGGTCAAGGTATGACATAACTCTACATGACACGAATTGTAGATCCAGAACCAAGATTAGCATTGAATAAAGGACAATTCAAAAGCATATCTTAAGGTTTACCTACCTATCTGTATGCTGTTAGAAGAAACACCAAAAATCAGTCCCCAAAAAACAGGAGAAAGGAAGACAGAAATATGCATAATCTTTTGCATTTCCAAGAAAAGTAGAGCATCCACAAAATCTTCTTTTGTTGTTCTTTTCCTCCTCTTTCTTTGCTCTTTTCCGTCAGTAAATTAGATCCTCTGCATTTTGAGAGACCAATTTAGCACCAAGCCCCTAAAAACCTCGAAGTGGAGGCAGGGGAGCCCCTTGTCACAGCTACTGCTGGTAGCTGTTGCTAGTCTAGTCGTTGTCCAGCTCCAGAAGTCAGAAGAAATGGTTGAATGCAGTTTTCAGTGGTGCTGCTGCTGTGGTCCGGGTGTCTCAGTACATTCAGCACACTCACATGCGCTCACACACACTCACCCTTTCTCTCTCGCTCTCGTTCTCTTCTCCCTCTTTCCACACACACGCACACATACAGACAAGTCACAGAGCGGCAGGCAGTCAGTCCCAGGCGCGCGTGCGCGACTCTTCCAAAGCCACCGAGAGCGCGCCTCTCCCCACACCCCTCCTTTTGCTCACCCCACGCAGCTCCTAGAGCAGGGCTTCACCGCACTTGTCAAAGAGCTCTGCCTCCACAGAGGCGACAGCCCTCTCACTAGCAGAGCAGCTGCCACTGAAGGCACACTAAGTCCCTAAGAAGGTTCAGAACCGAGGACAGCGCCACAAGCGTAGCAATTAAGCGTCTACAGGATCTGCAATAAAGCTTTAAAAAAAGAGAGAAAGAAGAGAAGGAGGGGGCGGGGGACGCTATCCCAAAAGCTTCGAGTACCAATTCGAAAGCAAGGGTTCCAGCGGTTTGAAACCGCGCCTTGTAGTTTGCAGTATTTAGTCCATCCTCCTTCTACCTCTGCTGTGTTAAATCCTTTTGTGTATATTCCAGTCTATGTCCAAACAAACGGATAGAGTTTAAAGTACAACACAACCAATTTGGAGGGAAAAAAAATGCTTTGTCGTTGTTGTTCTTAGCTGTCCCCTTCTTCAGACGTCAGACTCAGAATCAGCAACCAAATCCACAATTTAAAAATCCCCCCGGTGTAAATTCTAATATACTCTCTATGTAGGCAAGAGTCCCAGACAAACAGAAAGTCCTTTCTTCAAAGGCTGATCCGCACTTGAAGGAAAAAGCCAGACGGACTAATTCTCTCGAAACACTTTATATGCAGGATAACTGCAGGTCTTTTCTTTTCTTTTTTTTTTTAAAGCATATCCCTTATAGGATGAGATGCGGACTTCCCGAACCACATCGTATATTGGCTTCTGTCTTGCAGCTCTCACTGCAGAATTCCTCCTGGTGACCTGTAAGTGTGTACCAGAGAGAAGCCAATCTTCCTTCCTAGAAGTATGTTACTCCCCTGAATGAAAGGAGGAGGGCTGAGGAAACAGTGCTTTGGAGGAAGAGCATGTAAGAAAGTGAAGAGAACTTGAGCTAGAAAGCCAGGAGATAAGCCGAACTTCTCCATGACTATCATTTCGTAGATAGTGAAAAACTCGTGACTGTGAGCTGATATGGTGTAATCCCTGTGGTCTTGGCTCGGTAGTTTGGAGAATAGCTGTCAGGGAAAAGTAAAAAGTCGAAGTTGCAATTCTACAACTAAAATAATAATATTTCAGGTGAAAAACAAAAGCCTTTTTTTTTTAAACTGGGTGGAGGTAAGGATCTTTGGGCTTTCATCAAGAAATCCCTACACTTGCTTCCTGGCAGTTAAACCAGGAATTTTTTTAGCCTAAACCTCCTTCAAAAGTCAGCCAACCCTAGAGGCTTGGTAGTCCTTTTCTTAATCACATTTACTAGACAAAACATGGGCCTTTATAACAGGAAGAAAGGCAAAACCCTAAAAATGCTGCTAACTTATTTTACTAGGCCTCCTTTTTGTGTTTTTGCCATGGGCATTACTTTTTTCTTTCTTTTTGTTTTTTTTTTAAGACTCCAGCTTCTTTCAATAGCTTGTTGAAAAACATTTCTCATTTCTCTCTAAAATAGGTGCACTAGATGTCACGTAGGTCTCCTCTAATTCCAGCAATCTGTCAGGGAGCATTCCAATATAAAATAGCTTGTAGATATTAATATTTCCTAGGGTATATGTGTTTTCAAGTCATAATTCATTAAATACTTTTCTTTAAAAAGAAAATCAGAATTTTCTGAGTAGTAGAAATTTTTTCATTAAAAATGAATTAATGAATGAATTCAAAAGGAGTCAGAAAAAAGAAAAGTGCTTGGAGAAATGTAACATAATCATCTAAATAAAAATAAACACATAATTTTAAACATACATTAAATATGTCCTTCAACTACTAAATTACTGAATTTTCAATAACCTTTTAAAATTATTTAAGCATGCAACTTTTTTTAATCTAGTGATTTTTCTTCCATTATACTAACATCATTATCCTAAGTTGTTATACAAAGAAACCTCTGAAATTCCTTCTTAATCTTTTAAATAGAATATATTTGATCTCAAGTCAGCTATGCAGTATTGCCAATTCAAGTGTAAGAAGCTAATTTTTACTGAAGCAAATGAGATATGCAAATATAGGAAAAACTAGGACATGCTGAAAAATACCACAACTTCATGAGAAGGAAGATACAGATAGATAGATAGATAGATAGATAGATAGATAGATAGATAGATAGACAGACATAAGATTTTTTAGTATTAAATACAAATATCAGAAAATCAAAATATTTAGGTGAAGTATATTTCATATCACCTATAAAAATACCAGGAGTAGCTCAGGGAAGAGTTCATTACTTTGCGCCCTCTGCTGTTGAATTGCAGATATTGCCTGAGTTGTTAGCCACTCCCCTGAAGCTGGGCAGTTAACAGTGATGATAGAGATGCAAGAAACCAGTCTATGCATACCACCTTTATTATTATGTGACTTAAAAAAGAAAATCTTCAGAAATGAATGTGTTCTAAATAGGAAGTAGTGGAATTAGCAAATGACATGGAATTTAGACTTATATAGTACAATTTAATCCTATTTTGAAATACAGAAAATATATTTTTCTCATTTACTTTAAAATACCAGCACTAAAAATAGGTCCTTATTTTCTTGATCTGAATTTCACCAGTATGTGTGCAAATACTGTTTGATGCATGATAATTACTAGAATTCGTTGATTCATCAATTGAGGAACTCCTTCAACTTAATCATCCACCTCCTCCAGGTGAAATGATCTCCCTCTAAGATCTTCCACAGGCCTTTTCATGAATTCTCCTTTGAACTTATCTCAGTCTCCATTGTGTACATGTGTGTGTGTGTGTGTACATATATATACACAAATATGTGCATTTATTTGTATATATAAGAAATATACATACACACATACATTTATGTATATGTGTCTTACAATTAACCATAGATTTTTACCTTATTGAATGCAGGCTTTATGCATTATTTATCATTGTGTCTTAATCAACCACTTAATTCCACTTACACTGCAGATATTTTATAGATGTTTCATGAAATGTATTGAATAATAAAGTCTACGAATTGGAAGGGATCATCTGGTCCAATCCCTACACAGTGAAGAAATTCCTTCTTTTATGTCCTGTGTAGTGAGAAAAGAATGATGTCTATTGAAGTCATAGAATCTGGCTTCCTATCTTACTTTTGCTACCTACTACCTGGTATGATACAGGCAAGTTATTGTCCTTTGGCCTCAGTTTCCTCAAGTGTAAAATGAGGCGGTTTGACTAGATTACCACAAAGAGGCATTCCAACACTGTCTGTGATCCTCTTAGAGTCTCAGCTTCCTCATCCACAAAATGAGGGGAAGATATTTCTATTTCACTAAATTAAGAATAACATAGTGTGCTATATGAGCTATAGTGTGAGAGCTATAGTTCCTGACACATATTTTATAAAGATCTCTTCATAAACATTTCAAGAGATACGAGGTTCACCACCACTTCATGAGGTACCTTACTCCATTTTTAACAGCTTTTATATTGGGCTAAAATCTGCCTTCCTGTAATTTTCACCCACCTGACCTGGTTCTACTTCTAGGAATGAACAAAATACATTTCATTCCTCTTTTGGTATGACAAGCTTTCAAATATACAAAATTTAGCCTTTATTTCCCCCTTTTGTGAAAGCTAAATATTCTAATTTTCTTCAATGGATCGCTATATGACATTTTCCAGATCATTTTATCTTTTTCTTTGTCATTATATTGGTATATCAAAGAAATGTCTGGCCAATATATTAATTATTTGTCCAAGAATTCCATGGTGGGTAGAGGTCAGATCTCAGAGTTAAGAAGACTTAGGTCTGAGGCCCATCTAACACAAACAGTAGCTATGTGAACATTGGCAAATCACTTAACCTCTTAGTGCTCCAGGTAACTCTCAAAGACTCTAAATTACAGAAAACATACTAATCTTCATCAATAAAAAGAGTTTCCACTGATGAAAGTCACAGGATTGAATTTCACAACTTTCTGTCAAATAACTTTGCTAACACATATATATCCACATACCTATGTCAGCAAAATATTTGAGATACACAGACACACATACACACACACACACATACATGTATATGTGCTATATGAGAACAAAAATATGCATTCCAGCAAAGTAGTTAACACACACATATGTGTATGTATATATGTATGCATATATATATATATATATATATATATATATATATACATATATATATATACACATACACACACATACATATAGTGTATTGTGTGCACGGCAAAGTATTTGACAGTCTTTGATATGCTTGTTGGCAAGATGCAGAAATAGCAGATGGATCATATCATATCATAATTGGCTAATATACTAGTCACAACTAACTCAGGCCAATACAGTGATTCATGATCAGTAATAGAATGCAATAATATGCTCACAAGTTATAAAATATAATTTAAAAAAAGCTTTATTTGTGCTATTTTTAAAAAGATACAATTCCTAATTAAGTTCAGATAAAATATTATTCTCCCTTTACCTCCAGGTTCAACACCTAGCCATTCTTGATGGGCAGCGGAAATTCCGCTAAAACTTCCCCAAAGTACTGGGCCTGCTAAGCCTCAGAGGAGAAGGAAACCAAATCAAGCATTCAAGCCCTAGTTCTTGGCCAACCAAAATCCCAAAGACTGATTCTTTATACCCTTAAAGTGAAGCCAACCCAGACTACATAAAGCAAAGTAGATGCCATACCTACCACATCTGGATTAATATCAAAATAATATTAGTTAATGATTATGCCTAGTAGAGGTTAATGGCAGGCTCAATATTTTCACCAATGACTAGATGAATATATAGATGACTTACTTGTTGAATTTCCTGCTTGGAGAGCTAGATCACTGAAATAATAAGTTATAATAAAGATAAAGGAGAATTTTAAAACATTTTCTACATGATAGAAATAGTAATGTTTCTTCTGATAACTCTTTATACCTTATGTCAAAAAGCACAAAAGTCATTATGCTTAGGGGGTATCATGTCATCTTTTGCATGTGGTACAAACTAAGATATGATTGCTAGAAATTAATTTTACTGGACTGTTGAAGAGTAGACTAGCTATGGTAATTTGAAAATCAGTTTTGCCATACAGTAAATTGAAAAGTCAATTCATGGCATAAACCAATCCAGAATTCTTCATTGTTTTGAGAAAAAAAAATACCCAATTTTAAGATCAAATTTTATAGTTTAAACTTAAATTAATAATTTAACATTATATATGTATATATTCAACTAACTCACTGAAACACATAGGGCAAAAAACTGATACAAGAAAGCACTGTGGTGGAGAAATGGATTGGTTTAGGCATTCTGGAAAGCAATTTACAACTATGCTCAGAAAGTTTAAAAAAATGCATAAAGCCAGAACCAAGATGGTGGAGAAAAGGCAGTGACTCACCTGAATTCTCCCCAAAACCCCTCCAAACAATGCCATGAAACAATTCGAGAAGAGACAGAACCCACAAAAGAATGAGGTGAAACAATATTCCAGCCAAAGACAACTTAGAAGGTCAGCGGAAAAGGTCTGTAGTACCTCAGTGAGAGTACAAAACAGTC